AATCATATTAAATCTTACGAATTTATTTAATTTAACAATCAGTTAGTGGCTGTACACCTTTTCCACTCTAGATTCATTGAATACTGTGCTGAACGTTCTATGTATCTCTTAAGTTATTAGCAACATTCAGAATAAGTTGGAATTGCATGTCAACCTAGAATTTCTAGAACATACTTATCCACAAATCTGAACGACATGGTTATATTGGTCAGTATTATCCCTGTATATGAGTTTTAGCTTTCGTATATAAATCTCTCAGTCTCAAGATATAGATACTAGCCAACCAAAGCATAGATTGAGAGAGCTTACATTGTAACTATATATTCGACAAACAACACTGATTTATTTGGTTTAATTGATACTCATCATAAACTATAAACAATACAATGATGACAAGTTTTCCAAAATAATGATAAATTCACTGTATTTCGTCTGATTATCTTCAGCTGAAATCACTTAACTAAGAATATATAAATAAAGCAAATTATTTCTAAAGCAAGTTTAAATTAAAACAGTTTTGATGGGATGTTTTTCATAGAATAGAAGTGATAGTTGGGAAAGAAAACACCCAAGAAAAGTCGTTGGTCCGAAAACTTTTTGAGTTAACTCAGTAAATAACTACGGGAAGAACGAATTGCGTTGTTTATTTATACGACGAAGACAATTAATTACGAACCACTGATTATTTTTAACTACATTCTATCGATAAATTTATAAGGGAATTTTAAAGACTTTCTCATTTAGGAAAATCATTTTATTAAATAGCTCTGATCTTTTAAACATTTTCGCTTTTTTTCTGGGTTACATTTTCCTTTTCATTGTCCAACGTTTGTTCAAAGTTCTGATTTGGTATGTATTCAATAAATCACTGATTATAATTTCTAGACCGGAAATTGTTTCGTAATACTTTATTATCAGAAATATACTTGTATGAGTAAACAAATGTGAAAATCAGTTATACAAAAAAAATTAAGAAGCAGTAACTCCTCAAAATATTGATTTAGTAATCCCTAAACCACCTGTGAATGTATCACTGAATAACTGTATCGAGGTTCAGTAGTAATCATCTTTCATTCTCAATTGAAGTAGTAAATAAAGATAATAATTGTCGATATCACTGGAAAACAGCAGTTGTATAATCAATGAACCGAACTTCTGAAGTCACATATTGAATCACTGATTTAACAGTGCTTCCAGGTTTCCCATGGTGGTCTAGCGTTAATCGACTAGTGAATTTAACTATTAAATTACTAAAACCTCCACAAACCCCCTTTCAGATAATAACCACCATGTGCTCACTAGTGACTGGCTTCAAGAGGTATATCCTAGAGTTCTATTGAGAGACAGTGACTAGTGGAATTCAAACGGGTCTCTTGTGAGACAGTAACTCACCGAAGACAATGGTAGACGGTGGAACGATTTCGTAGATCGGTTGAAGTTAGAAATTAACACCGCCGGCTCAGTGGTCTAGATGTTAGGCGTCCGCGTGCGAGACCGATAGGTCCTGGGTTTGAAGCTCGCGAGCAGGATCGTGGATGAGCATTGCTGAGAAGTCTCGTACTAGAACAAAACGATAGTCTAGTACTTTCAGGTTTTCCATGGTGGTCGATTCATGAATTCAACTATTAAAGTATTATATCTACTGAGAAATCTAAATCCTGTCCTCACTATATATTTAAATAAATCAACACTGAGATAAAAGTGTCCCTAGTTGTCATTAGATTATTGACTAGCTTAAAGATACGATGAAAAATCGTATTCAAAAACTGAAAAACCATGAAAAATAATTTAACGTTTTTCGCTGTTTAAACATGTTTTTAATGTACACAATCAAACATAGTCTAAAGCGTTCCATCAAATCTTGATTCATATCATTTGATTTGTGAATGAAAGCTTGTAGACTATTACAAAGACTTACAAAAACAGATTTGAGTCAAATAAATTCAAGAAAATCTTTTGAAACATTGAGTAAAACCATGTCATTGCATACTTTAAAAAATATGTACTATGTACTAAAGTTGGATGAATTTTAAATACTACGGTTTATTATCAAATTTCATCGGAATGATGACTAATGCTAAACTATGAAGATGTATAAATTTATAAGCCGTTTATTAATTGACAGTTGTCTGTATACCGTATTCTATCTAGTTTGATCAATTCAGTCAGTTTTACAATTCTTAGATTTCACAAACTAAAACTACGAAAGATATTTACTTAGTTACATTATCATTTTGTATCGGTAATAAGTATCTAGATGATCCTTTACTCTTTCATCTATATCTGGACGAATGAAACAATCGAGACTATTTCAAACTGAATTATAACCCATACCGGCTGCATACGTGAATGGCTATCAGTAGCTAAGTGGGTAATGTGGTAAAGTTTAAAGCGAACGGCACTAGGTTTGAGTCCAGAAGTGAACATTAACCCTGGGGTCCAGGTACATCCAGCTGACATGTCCGAAACAGGACGAAATGGGTAACCCGAATTTTGCTGACACATATGTCATTTATTAATTGACCAATCATGTAGGATTTGAATTGTATACTTCTTTGGTTTCTTAAACGATTATTTCTAGGGGATTTTAATCATAAGCTGAAAAACACTGCGATTCAAAGAACACTAGCTTAGAGATAGATTCCCTGGAGTTGAGATGGGAAGTTGTATCGGTAATATCTAGGAAATCTTAAGTGAGATTGTAACTCACTACTGACACTGAACAATGATCAATCTACGACGCAACTAAAACAGACATAATAATCTAATGATAAAAAGATAAACGGAATAGGAAATAAATCAAGAGACAAAATGTTTATGACCAAGCAGAAATACACTTTAATTGAGTACACACAATCTACATAAAGTAAATTTTGAAAATGTTGTCCAGAATGATAAAAGAAAGCTCTCGAACTAATCCATTTAGATTGAAGAATACAAAAAAGTCAAGTCAGCCTTTTATAAATTTCCGTAAGCACCACTGATAACCATATTAAAAGGTATTGATCTAAATCAACCAGATCATAACATTGAAATATTATAGGTTCAAAATCACCAGGTAAACATGTTTATCAGATTACAATTAGCTTTATAATGCTCAGTTTAAATAAATGCCTACATTGATACTTCTATCAATGTAATTATATTAAAAAGTTCGAATTACTTCAACGACTTCACTGTTCAAATCTTTATTATATTAAATGACAACTAATCTATTGTTTATGTTATCCACCATAAAATACAGTCAGGAACAGTCAACACCACATGAAAATCAACGTGTGTATTCATTTCGATGGAGTGAAACGCCCTTCCCCATTTGCGTTTACTTTACAGAGTCACTCAGTTATGTGGATAATCCAAGGAGTAAGATGACTTCATTGGACTTACATACAATGGTATGAATCATTTGCTACCTCAATTTGTCACAATAAAGACGAACAACTCGCATGTTTGAGGCGATGGAAATCACGTCTAAGTCTCTGTATGAACGCTATTACTGAACTCGAAATTCATCTAGCTGAATAGTCTTGAATAGGATAAAACACAACATAGACGTCCCTGAAAAATAGTGTAAGCAGATAAACTGATTGGTTGGTTTTCATTCTATTAAGGACAAGTTCAAATGCATTTCATTTATTGGTAGGTAGACGTAATTTTTATTTGTTTTATAATGTCGAAAAATTGCTGACTACATTAAGAATTCCATGTTGACACATATAAATATCATTTACTATATTGAATACCAGTGTAGCATCAGCCTCTATAGCATTCACAAGGGGAAAAGAGATCCCAAAATACAACAACACCAACCACAGCACACTTCATGGAGATACTATGGAAGAGGTGAGAACCTCTACTTACCTGAGCAGCATAGTCGATAAATAACAAGGATATGATCCAGATTTGAAAGCACGAATAGGTAAAGCAGGAGCAGAATTCCTACAGTTGAAGAATCTATGAAACTCAAAACAACTGTCTGCAAGCCAACATCAAAGTCAGAATCTTTAATGCAAACGTCAAAACAGTCCTGCTGTGAGGAGTTGAAACTTGCAGAACTTCCACAATCATCAAGATGGTACAAGTATTGCTAAACAACTGTCTACACAACACACTCAGTGTCCGTTGACCGGATATCATCAGCAACAACTTACTGTGAGAGAGAGCAAACCAGCTTCCAGATCAACAGGAAATTAGGAAAAGACACTGAAAGTGGATAGGATACACATTGAGGAAATCATCAAACTTCATCACGAGGCAAGCGCTAACTTGGAATCCTGAAGGTAAACAGAAAGGAGGAAGACCAAGAAACACACTGCGTGGCGAATCGGATGCAGACATGAAAAGGATGAATAGGAACTGGAAACAAGTGGAAAGTATTGCCCAGAACAGAGTTCGAGTGAGGATCGTGGTGAAAAACCTATGTTCCTCCACGAGGGGTAACAAGCGTATTTAGTAATTGTGTTAAGTAAAAAGTTATTTAAATATAGTACGTGTTGCAGTCAACTAAATCTCTTTCTTATTAAAAAAAAGCCATCCAACTTGAATAATACTACATATTAACGAGAAATTAAAGAAATTTTTTAGAATTATATTTTTGTTGAACCCTAACATTACTAAGGTTAACATGTCTTTTCATATGTTAAACATGTTTGATCGAGAAATGATAATTAGGTCGCCGTACTGATTTTATCTGTTTGTTAATAATACTTGATATTTTCGGTATGCATTATTCACTTTGTATGATCGTAACTTTGACCTAGAAAATGTAAATAATAGTACAAATGAAATTATAAATAAATAAACTATGTATGGTTATTTGATCGAAATCATACAAGTCACACTGTCATGTTTTCGAAGATTAATAAGAAATGTAAAAATTATTACATTACTGACTTGTCTTATGGAAATGGATCACTGAAGAAAAAATATTTACGAAGCGTACATTACCTTAATGTTATATGAATAAAACGTTAGAAAAACTGAACGAAATTACATATGTAATGATCGATGTAGAAAACCATCCAAACAGTGTATTTTATATTGTTATTAAAAGAATCCCTGGTAGTCTACTTGAAATGGAAGAATTACGGTTACATGTCTATTTTACCGTTGATATTATGGTAAACCATATGCTCATCGTTAAACTGAACATATCCTCCTATTCTGAACACATTTAATTTTTTTTAAATATAGGGTAAATCAATATGCCTGGAGAACTACAAAAGCCATCATCCAGAAAATACAGGTGTTTATTAACAATTGTCTACGCAAAATACTTCAGATCCATTGGCCGGACACTATTAGCAACAACCTACTGTGGGAGAGAACAAACCAGATCCCAGTGGAGGAAGAAATCAGGAAGAAGCGCTGGAAGTGGATAGGACACACATTGAGGAAAGCACCCAACTGCGTCACAAGACAAGCCCTCACATGGAATCCTGAAGGTCAAAGGAAAAGAGGAAGACCAAAGAACACATTACGCCGAGAAATGGAGATAGACATGAGAAAAATGAACAAGAATTGGATGGAACTAGAAAAGAAGGCCCAGGACAGAGTGGGTTGGAGAATGCTGGTCAGCGGCCTATGCTCCATTGGGGGTAACAGGCGTAAGTAGGTAAGTAAGTAAATCAATATGACAGTAACTGAAATAAATGAAGTCCTAAACAAAATACTTCTCACTCAGTCGTGATACTCTGCATTCGTATGAACTTATAAGTTATCAAGTTTCGTCTTTCTCTGAACAATTAACTAAATTTATAGTGAATCTTTTATTTAGTAAAATGCTATCACACTAAATTACAGTCAACTGGAGTAAAATCTTTTCTGTTTAGTGGCTGGTGGATGTGATACAAATACCAGTATTCACATACGCACACATGTTAAACATCTAGCACTATGATCATTATTATCCAGGATCATATGATCTCAAATACAAACTAGTTGAATTTTTCAGTAAAGCTATCCACTATTCTATTCCAATTATATCTTACTGTATATTATTTTTAAAGCAACTTAAATGTCGATTACTGAAAATAAAAAGCTAATGCCAAGTTAATAATGAATAAATGAAATATATGCGATGTAGTACAGTTAACCAAGATGTCACAAATCTAGGTTTCATATATGTTATCACTTAATAGTAAAGCTCTATTATTAATCACGTTAAAATATGTCACTTTTTGACATTTGATCGAATGATTCAAGTTAGAACCTCGAAAATAGTATAAGCTTCAATAATGTACCTAATAACCATTGGTGATGAATAAAAGAAAGTCAAAAAACTAATTACAGTTTTTGAAAGCAAAATAACAGTTAAGTACTCATGTTCTGAACAAAGTTAATATATTAAACTCTTCGTTTAATAGAAACTAGTGAGAAGAACTAGATTTCCTTCAGTTCAATAAATCTTAACAACCATTGAAAGATAGAATTCTGGACGATTCATTGTTGATAAGGATTTACGTAAGTTGATAAATGACCATAGAAATCTGTATTTTAATGAATATTAAAATATTTTAACTATGCTATTTTCCTGTTACTATGTTCATTAAAAATGATCCTATAAAATAAGCTTATTGGGAGTACTAGTAAATCGTGCGGTTACTTTTCAGAAAATCCTGATTAGTTTTGTGATAATGATCAAATTCCCAGAAAAAAAAATAGTAATTAATTCTATCGATTTTCATTTACTGATGCCGATATTATTAGTTCTACAAAACTGATTAACTCAGGGGGCGTATAGTTAGGGATCTTATCATCTGCTGCTTCACTATTACTTTGTTTTGCTTGGACACTCTCTCCCTCATCCATTTTAGTCTGTGATATGAAAACGTGAATAACTAAAAATAAGAAACTTGAAAAAACTATTCTCTAGCGAAATAGCATAAATATATATAGTTAATATATATTCATTAATTAACTCACTTATGCTACTTTGATATTGTCCCAATCGCAAGCGTTTAATGGATGTCATACCTGTTGTCATATCGTTTTCCACTCATACATAAACTGGTGTTAAATAGTTATATGTTTATTATTTCAAATTTATGCCGTGAATGTTATAGCTTTGTACATATTATGATTTATTATTTATGGTACGTCATAGTCTTGCATTTTATTTGTGTAATAACTTACGTCTTAAAGTTAGAATAACACAGGGTAATGCAAAATACTTATATGGTCTTCCTGGAGTTATGTTTATTAGTTTGGAGGAAACTGGAAGGCTACTGACCGTTCACCAAGCATATCAACTATGTTATCGAATTTACTCAGTGAGGAGAAAAGAAAAATCATAATACCTAGTTTATCCGTCCGGTCACCACTGAATTCTCTATCCACAGAAATAAATTCTTCTATCTGGGTCGATATTACATTTTCGCAAGGTTGTGATTATTCACGAGATGTTAAACGATCGAACCATAGTCAGTTAAAAACATAATACACAACTTTATCATCATTTGTTAAAATCTATCTCTTAAACACATGAATCCCATGAGATTTCTTTCAATCATAAACTACTTTTGAAACTGTTCAAATGTTTGGTTGCCAGATAAATAATTCCTATTTAATGTTAGAATGAGCAAATACACCTAAATTAAGGCACACTACACTTATGAAAACGCCTGTAGCTCTTCTAGGGCTACTGCAGAGCACAAGGCTGCACAAATGGGGAGGGTTGGGTATGGGATCAGCAACCCCATCGCGTAGGAAACAACCAAGCTAAAAATTGTCAACCACATGTAACTTCTCACCACAAAGCTCAAGAATGAATTATCACGCCTTATGATGAAAGCCCACATTCTTCGGTGGCTACGAGGCTGATGCCAATTCTGACAACCAGAACAACAATTCATATGGGTACATGGCTAGTTCGAACAATGTAGAAGTGTTCATGAGAGGACCCGACCATCCTGATAGGAGACCGGAAAGCCAAAGTCTAAACGGACAATACAGGATATAAATATATCAGGGGACGACATGATCTAATTGGAAGAAACCAATGACAATTGTGACAGATTTGCCACTTTGTGAGTATTCATTAAAATGATAATAGAAGACATAATATTCGCACACAAGCGCATGCAAAAAAGCTACGTAGATCTCACCGAATCACAATATAGAGAATCAGATCGATCATATTTACATCACTAAAAAATTCAGAAGGACAATGGAAGACGTACGAACCAATAGAGGAAGTGACACAGATTCAGACCACCATCTACCTGGTGGTTGCCAAGATGAAACTAAAACAAAATAAGCACTCGAAAACTGAAAAAGAAAACAGTATTACAAGGGTCTAATACAGTCTTCCTTTGACCTACTGACAAATTCAACAAAATCGAAATATCTCTCAACAACCGGCTCCCAACATTACAAAATCGACTCAAAGAAGAAGAAACTACTATGGAGAGTAATTGAAAAAGAATCAAAGATGCAGTAATTTCAACTTGCCAAGTGGTGCAGAAACGTAACATGCATCATCATCATAAGAAATAGATCTCTATAAAAACCCTGAACAAGATTGAAGAAAGGAAGAACAAGAGGATATGAAGGCAGGGATTGTCAAAGCAAGGATAGAATTCCTACAGTTGAAGAATCTATGAAACTCAAAACAACTGTCTGCAAGCCAACATCAAAGTCAGAATCTTTAATGCAAACGTCAAAACAGTCCTGCTGTGAGGAGTTGAAACTTGCAGAACTTCCACAATCATCAAGATGGTACAAGTATTGCTAAACAACTGTCTACACAACACACTCAGTGTCCGTTGACCGGATATCATCAGCAACAACTTACTGTGAGAGAGAGCAAACCAGCTTCCAGATCAACAGGAAATTAGGAAAAGACACTGAAAGTGGATAGGATACACATTGAGGAAATCATCAAACTTCATCACGAGGCAAGCGCTAACTTGGAATCCTGAAGGTAAACAGAAAGGAGGAAGACCAAGAAACACACTGCGTGGCGAATCGGATGCAGACATGAAAAGGATGAATAGGAACTGGAAACAAGTGGAAAGTGAGATTAGATGGTGGTTGGAGGTAGTCAACAGGAAACCCTGGACCCGGGTTTCGTGCTACTTGGCACTCGTCAGCAAGGTGTACCTGTAATCTTGAGGGAACTGGTGCTCCCTGGCGGATTCGATCTCGTGTCACCCAGCTTCACAGTCAGAGTCAAGTGGAAAGTATTGCCCAGAACAGAGTTCGAGTGAGGATCGTGGTGAAAAACCTATGCTCCTCCATGAGGAGTAACAGGTGTAATTAAGTAAGTACATTTATGACATAAAAACAGCTTTACGCTTTTGTGGCTTTTCGTTCACGAATCTTAGCAACCGTAGGCTTATTACCGTAAGAACTAAACAAGTGCTATTCACACCCAATTTTTAGTTTATTTTTCAAATTCTGTAACAGCCGGTTTAGAAAGCCATTCTAAATCGTCGACGCTTCACCCGCGAGCAAGTGTTTATAAGCCTATTAAGGCGTTACTCTATGGTTTACCAGCTGACATAGTATTTATACTGCATCAAGACGAGTTTGAGTTTGATGAAAGAACTTTTCTCCAAACTTTGGACCTAAGGACACAACTACTTAGGTGAACTGTTTTAGTCCCCTTCTTTAAAGAAACCAAGTTGAAGGGCTATCATTTTCTTCTGGCAGAATTCTAGGGGCCATTGGAATAGCTGTTTAACATGTCTATGCTACAACCGGTGAGTTTTCATATCCACAAGTTGATAGAGAGATACTTTGTGATTTTCGGTGTGATGTATGTACTCTAAAATCTCATGAAATTTACACTTTACTTCCAATGTTTAGTGAAGATAATCTAAATCCCAGCCAATTAAGATAGCGAATTCGAACTGGTCAGAATATCAATACACCTATTGACTGGAACCATCTAAATATACCAAACCAAGAAGTTACACTGTAAACAGAGCTTTCCTATTTGAAAACGACCTCAATCACATAAATCATCAATTTCTTAACTGACATGACAAATGTGAGGAAGATTTTATTATTTGGTCAATACTGGAGTCCTTAATACAATATTAAATTATTACTAATGTAATCTGGTGTTCAATAATCAGACAATTCATAAGAAATCACTTGATACCGTCAGTAAAAGTGCATCTAACCAAACAAATCATATTCTGACTATTACAAATATCTTGAAACTTATCACACAAGGAAGAGCTTACTCATCGAGTTTTCTATGATCTTTAATATCCTTTAGAAAATTTTTAAACTGTCAATTGTTAAAATTACAAATTACAATTAATATTCTATTTTCAGTTAAGATCATGAACCGATTGATATTAGACTATCATTGAAAACCCGGAAGCACTGGATGGCCGTTTCATCCTATTTTGGAACTCCTCAGCAGTGTACATCCACGATCCCGCTCGCGAGATTCGAACCCAGGACCACTAGATCACTGAGTCGGCATTGGAGTTCAACCGAGTCTGTTGTGAGATAGTAACTCACTGAAGACAATGGTGGGTGTGTCGTGGGTTCGTTGAGGTTGGACATTAACTCCATTGGATGCCGGCTCAGTGGTCCAGTAGGTTAAGCGTTCATGCGAGAGACTGAAGATCCTGGATTTGAATCCCGTAAGCGGGATCGTGGATGTACACTGATGAGGAGTTCCACGATAGGATGAAACGGCCATTCAGTGCTTTCAGGTTTTCAATGATAGTCTGACATAAATCGGTTCATGATCTCAAAAAATAATAATTTAAAAACATTTAAGTTTCTTCATTTTATTTATTTATTTATTTAAACACATAAACATAGGTACAAGAAGGCACCAAATAGATATGCGCCACACAAGTCACTTGATTTGTGTGTGCACTGTGATACCTCCCGGGTGCCTCGACCGAAACAGATGGTTTTCTTAGGGGGCCACACTCGAAGTCTTTGACCTAAAGGTCTAATCCACAAGGCAGTGAAGACACGTAAGGAGACTAAGTCCCATGGTAGCCGGTGACCAACGATTGGTTCATACGCCATTTGCTCCTTCAGGATACTGGATCTCATATGCATCATTGGCTTGGAATCAGGGTTTTCCAACTCCCATAGGTGGACTCTCCGTGTCCACCAACCCGGTTAAAGCGCTGGACATTCGCTTTTCGTCCTCTCAATTTCGTAAACAACACCCCCGCCTCGAGAAGACAGTAGGTAGGACTTCTCTGGCAGTGATTGCATTCACATGGCCATGTGAGAACATTTTGAGAGGGAGAGCTATCTCCCTCCATTCTTGGCTTAACCAGGGCATTTTGGGCTTCTACATTTAATATTAAATCGTTAATTATATTAACGTTATATAATGGTTCTAGTCTTTTAATTTCAACATAGACTTAAGTGAATGTACCTAAGTAATCACCCATACTAATTGATATATTGATCAATTACAATAAAAGTGTGAACTGTTTACTTTCCATAACAAAATGTATCAACCAGTTTTTTGGAAATATTCTCAGTTTCTTAGGTATATCTTTTTCTAGTAACAGTTCAATTTTCTTATTTTCTTCATTCTAATTGTTTAAATGTCAATAAAGAGATTAAATATGTATAGTGGTTCAAGAGCTCTACAATTATCTTCAACAAGTATCTAATATATTGAATAGGTATTCGAAGTAATGTTGAGTGAAACAAAGTTCAAATATGTTTCGAATCATATCACGTGTCATCTAAAGCAAAATATAGAATCTTCATAGTTTAAATCTTTTAAGACGTAGTCTTTTACATCTCCATGGATAGGCAATACTAGTCAGTCATTGAAAATAATTAGATCCAACTCTAAATACACAAGGTAAGAAGACACAATTCAAAATTACACTAAAATATTATTATTATTAAACCATGTGACAAGTTACAGGTTTAAATTCTGAAATGAATGGAAAATCCATTTCATCCTCTATGAATGTTTATAATCGTGTATGGGTTTGCACCCACTTCCCGATTATAAGTTTAGTTTACATCCCTATACATAAATTTTAATCATATTGTTAAATAGTATTTTAGTTTCTTAATTCTTTTCTATTTATCTTAATGCAACCTTTAAATTTTATATTGTTCTAAACTAATCCATGAACAAATAAATAAATAAATAGAGACGTGACCTCAAGTATGATTTGACCTTGATTTACGGAGGAAGTCATTACTTGCTTGATCTTAAGTTCATGTGATGATGGTGATTACAATGATGCTTCTTACTATGTCTTTTACTTATCCTAAAAAAAGAATTTATATTTTTAAGCATCACAAAATTGTGTCCTCAAAATGACCGCCAGAGTAAAATATCTAAGAGAAAGAATCAAATAAAAAAATTAACTATAATTTATTTCACTTTATTTATTTAAGGCGAAACTCCGTTGAAAGCAATAATAATAATAATAATGAATATATATATAAGGGCACTAAACGAGAATGACCCAAAACTGTGAATCGGTCAACTGAAGGATCGTGTTTATTTAGAACCCTTAATCTCTCGATATATGTATAAATATACATATATATAAGTTCAAATCCTCAGTATGAAATTAGGACATAACTAAAATATTGAAATGATAATAAAATATATTAAAAATGAATTGTGTAATGATGTGAAATAAATGAAATTTATTATTCTGCTTAATTTTTAATCAAAAACAAAGTGGTAACCTGGTCAAGTTCATAAAAATAAAAATAAAAAAATATTAATTGTGAATCTTCTAATCATCAAAATCTCTATTTAGATTAAAAATTAAATGATTAGAACTATAATGCCTGTGATGCCCGTGGTTTTTGTTGTTTTGTTTTTTAAATTTTTATACACAACTATATGTAACTTAATCATTCCAATACATTTTAATCGAATAGTCGTAATTCAACAATGATATGATCTAAATATTAGTGTTGTAACTGTGATTGCAAATTATAGAGCAGCGCATTATCGATTGGACCAAAGACGCGTAAGAGAACAACCTAGAGTACTGACTGGTCCTGCTTCCCTGTCTAGCCCAGCCAGTTGAGTTCAGAACGCAAGTCTCAGCCTCTGAGATATGAATAATTATATTTCAAGCATACTGAGTTTATATACCAGTCAAACCGACCACAACGTATCAATAAAATATGAAACAGCATTTCTACAAGAATTAGCCAGATGTGGCTGTGAATGAGGGAGGTGGCGATTAACAGACAGGGAATAGTTCATGAATGATAAATCGTATAATCATAGTTCATAGGTCAAAATAAAGCTCATAATAAGAGGGGCATGAATATGAACAGATTATTTACATAACAATTATACGATAAAAATATACTCATAATATTGGTCCATAAATGGATCCCAAAAATTACCATTAATTATTCCTATCGGGATACAACAATTAACACCTCTAATTTGTTAAATTAGTGCATATTATGCAATCATTAGCATTTATTATTATTATTTAAAATAATTCAAATTTGTTTACATTTATTAGGTATGTATTATATACAATCTCTGTTGAAATTGATAAAGACTTCAACTTCTTCTTCAATCCTAAATAATAGTTGGGAAGATACAAGTAAAACAACACCAAGTGAATTCATTTTGTTACATTTGAAATTTAGAAATTCTATCATTAAATTTTTCAAATCATAAATGATTCTATGTGTTAAAAAAATTAGTAAGCAGCCAAACTCCAGTCGTCTGAAGTTTGCTGAAACCGTTGACATCAGGCATGAAAAACCTGACCTATATGTTCAAAAGGAGACGGTTATTAATCTTCCGTTACCTTGGTGACAAATACTCTTTCGCTTAATCTTTATTTTTTTCTTCTTTTTTGTTAAACGCTTTCTCGCATTTATTATTATTATCTTGCAAATTAGTAATCATATTTGATCAACTGAGCTCTACTCACTATATTTATGTAATCACTTGTTTCTAGCCGTTTGAACTGTTGTCACAATCAATGTTGTAGAATGTTCTTTCACATAAGGTATATATTCACAATATTCAGTCTATTAATTTTATTTACACCCTTGCTATACTATACGAATATGTCTTCAATACAATTTCCAACCAAACTCTTTCATGTAAGTAATTTAAATTCATTATGTAATTATAATTTTAAATATCACAGGTTGTAAGCAAACGACGAGAACCTACGAAATAAAAATGAATTCATGCTATTCTGCTAGGATGTTTGTTCTTGCTCCTTTTTTCTTAAAAAAAAAGCGATGGAATAAACATATAAGTAGCTGTTCATTAGTTTTGTAAACTAACTTAATGCACAACTCGATCTAAGCTAAATCACCATTGAAAACTTGGGAGTATTGGATAGCCGTTTCGTTAAAATACTACCATCTCCGAAAATTCCCATACTAATAATAATGTAATACATTTTAGTTTGTGATTATAATTTATTTCTTATGAGAAAAAAGTAAACAAATAAACAAAATTCAATTAACAATTTAAGAATATTTTGTAGTGTCTAATTACAATTAAATCATCGATTGGTTGAAGTTAGACATTAATGCCGTTGGGTGCCGATCTAGCGTTCACACGTGAAACTGAAGGTCCTGGTTTCGAGTCATGCATGCAGGATCGTGGATGAGCACAGCTGAAGAGTCCTATACTTGGACAAAACAACCGTCCAGTTCTCACAGGTTTTTAATGGTGATGAGGCTTAGATCTACTCATGAACTCAAATATTAAAAATTAGCAAACTATTTTAATATTTCAAATGAAAATGAACAATATTAAATTATTGATTCAATAAATCCTGTAACACTACTATTCAAGTATATCAATTTAAGTACTCAAATAGATCATTAAGTTATGTAAGAGTTATTTTTCTGTCCTTGATTGTGCAGCTTTTCGTGTAAATCATTTAAGAGCACTGCTTTATTTTCATTTATCGAAGGGTTATCACGAACTAAGAAACATCGGATGGTTGTTTTGTTATGGAATAAAATTAAGGTAGTTTCTCACTGATAACACTGTATGGTGATTGTGATTCATTGAAAATTGATTAAAGATAAAAAAAATTATGATGGCCATTAAATTTAAATTCAATCTCTATATGGTACTGCATTTGTCAAAATATCTAAATTTCATTATTTCAATCTTGTACAAGGTTTTGTTCATCCTTTCTTAAGAAGTTACAAAATATGGGGATTTTCATCTGGTATTAGTTGGTAATTGAAACTATCTTCAACTTATACAATTGTATGAAATCTATTTACTTTGCTTGTCCATAATTAACTTAAACCAAGGTAATTTGAGTAGTTTATAAATTGTACTAGAATTTATTTATTTTTATGTCAACTCATTGAACTACATTTTTCAACAGTTCTGTACTTAACTCTGTGTCTCCTTTGAATTCTGTTAATTTATTAACTTATCAGTAGTTAAACGTACTTGATTTCGATCTGCACTAATTTTGCCTTACAGTTAAATTTCAATCATACATTTCTTTCAGATAATGAAACATTTCACCCAGAATCTTGATATTTATTAAATATACTGTGCTTTGAAATAATTATGTTTTCAAATCTTAAATGACCATTTGATTTATCATACTAACTGGATTAATAATTTTACTATTAACTTATTATCTAATACATACAACTCCTATTCTCATTTTAACAATCTAAAATGAGCAAACAAACATTTTGCATATCACATAAAGAACATGGAATTCACATGAAAAGAATTTGCAGTTGTTGTGTTGTTTTTTTGAAGTTAGAAAAAAAAGACGTTAATATTTGTAAAGAGAAAGGGTTTTGAATTTGTAATCTTCAAAATATCGATTAAATCTATACGTTCAACAATTGGAACCTTTTATTAATGAACATGATTGTCCAAGTGATTCATAAAATCTTTCGTTTATTATATATCATATACTTCAAGTTAACGTCATGTTTATTTGTTGTAATGAATCTTTAAGCATTAGTCTAATATAATTAATTATTATGAACAATGGACAACTATGGAATTTCAAGTCTTCTTTAATTAGACCCAGTTAATCTAATAAATAGGGTGGCTAAGTTGTTTACTGAGAGATTCACTAATTCAAGGAGAAAACACTTTTTTAAATAGAAATCCTGGATTTCGACCATACGAGTACTTATTTCATCAATGAAAATTTCCGAGAAGTAATAAAATTAAATATAAACACTTTAAGCTGTTAATCGATGAACTAGGGTTTTTTCTGCTCCGAATTTCGATTCTCCCCTGCTATATATGGTCTAGGAAAAAGGCTTTTACATAAATTATTCTATCGTTAAATCAAATTAAACTAGATCATTCGATCATTTTTTTTACCCATGATATTTTCATGGTTGATAAAACTACGTATGAAATTACATTGTTTCAGTTGGGTGAGACGTGGGTATAAATTTAAACCGAAGGTAGCCTTCACCAGGAAACAATATCAAGTACGGTAGCGATGACTAGCACATAATCTAGTTAGTAATGATGAGAAAAATGGAACTCGCGTATTTTAAAAAAAGGGTATTCATAAAAACTTACATGTGTTTACCATTCACGTACTGTACAACCAAACAGGTAAAATATAACTACAGTGATGCTTGCCATCAAAATGGTGAAGTACTATCACGCTATTGGCTTAGATGTCATGATGCCATTTTATAATTTATGCAGCAGTCGATTATGTTAAAAGGTCCAACTGAATGACTTTTTTTATTACTACACGTAAACTAAAAATGCGACGAACAAGATAATGATTTAGAAGATAAAAATGTATTTCCTTTGAATTGCTGCCTTTTTCAGTAAATGTGAAGTGCATAGACGTTGATCTATCAAGTAGATGACAGTTTCAATCCATGGACAATGTCTTTTAACTTAATGAGAAAGTAATTTTATATTACCTTACCTTACAGAAGCTATCCTTCAATACCAAAGTCTAATCACACAATCCTACATTTTGTTGTGTTCTGTTGGGTTTATTTACAACACTTCCAACTGGAAGTTCCTGATTAGAATATGACTTTATTTACTTATCTGATTAGCTATCACTAAATATGACAATCTTTTTAATACTAAGTAACACCAGGATATGTAGCTCTTTGGTTCATCTAAGTAACCATATTCCAGTAAAAAAGAACCCTTATTTTAACTGACTCAAATTCTATACAACTTGAAAGTTGGTCATAGTCATCGTTACGATATTTCGACCCATACATATTGGTTAGCATTAACTAAATTCATACAATGGTCAAAAATACTAAGGTCATTATTCATAAACTAGTTACTTTCTAATCAATTTCATGTAAATTATTAAGTAAGTTTATCACAGGATAATCTTTTTCAACTAATATTATATTTCTATAGTGTGTTTTTTTCTCGAAATCTTGCTAAATAATAAATTGGAAAGATGCACTAAATAAAGACATAGTTGTTCTTTGTTTGGATTTTTTTTAACCATTTACTTTACAGTAAATTGGTGCAAAAAAATGAGTCATCAACCTCGGTAATAGTTGGTATAAAAAAAACAATTTTTTTTGAAAAAAAACTCTTTTAAAGTGCAAACACTTATGGGGTATTTATTGTATAGGTGTGTGAGTGTTTATGTCTTGTATAACTGTACATAATGAGTGCGTTCATATGTGAATAGGCATTTAGCATTGATCTGATGCTATCATAAAACTAAGTTTTATCTAAATTATTCTGGTCAATTTTTCAGCCTTTATAACTTCATATGTTTATAGTATATATCATGAATTTCATATACTATACACAAACATTTCAAACATTCCATAGATCCATCAATAAGTCACTTGGAGAAATTTTGAAGGAATAAATCATTGGTATTGACTACAACCAAGAAATATTGTTTAATCGGACCAATGAATAAAGGACTCGATATCAAAAATTTGATAATATTTAGGATAAGTTATGGAAAAATTCATTAGTTGTTGAGATCCATTGAAAACATTGATAAAAATATTTCTTCTCAAGTGAATCAATTATTTCAGCGACTGTAAGGATGATTCATGTCCACAACATCTGTTGACTCACTGTGTAAATGAAAAAATCGAATGTCTTTGGATCACTATTACCCTCTTCAATTCTCTGTCTGGATGATCGGTCAGGAACTGAGTTTAGGAAAACCATCCAGAAATTTCGAATTGAGAAAATTGTGAAATGACTAGACAAAAACTTTTAGAGGTACTTTGGATAGTTCAAACAAGTATACTGCCACAAATGGTGGTTATTTTGAAATTGGTCAGACTGAAGAACTCTAAAGTTTGTAGAATATAGATTTGATGGGTTCACCTCAAATATTCATTAGACAGATTGTGTGTTTATTTCTATTCCAATAAATTGCTGGGGAATAGTTAGCTCTTAGTGGTCGTGGATTGTGTGATTATCTTATCAACTTATAAACATCGTCAATTTTCGTATATAATCATCGTTTTAAATTACGTTAGTGAATAATGGAATTAAAATAAGTCAAATACGAGAATGAATTTTTGAATACATATATTTTGTACAATCGTTGAGCAAAACAGACAATCAGAGAAATGGAGATAAGGAAGCGAAGCGGAACGAATTGGAGAAGGCATATTAGCCAACTCACTTTAATTAAGCATTACTCAATATTTATACTCAAGTCGAATCGAGGTGAATAAGCAACAA